TCATATTTTTCTTATTTGTTGAAGCACTTGAAGACGAATAAATTAGAAGATGTTTATCTTGAAATTAGCTTTTTTAAATAGGTAAAATTTTTAATATATAGATAGTATAATATTATTTTATTTCCTCTAATTCTATATTCTTATATTTGGTCTATTTCAAAGATTATTGAATGAAAAAAAATAATCTATCTAACATAGCATAAACTTAGATCATTTCATTTATTTCTTTAAAAAACTCTAAATCCTTCTTGAATTAAAAGTAAACAATTAGTTTTAGTCTAGATTATAAAAAATTAAATTATATATTTTTTTTCACAAATCAATATTCTATTAAAAATTATAGAATTTTACTTAATTTATTTAACTATTTTCCAATCTCTATCTAATATTAAAAGAGTATCTTTAGAAACTAAATCAATTAGATTCTTCCACATTTTGTTTTGTTTTTAGTATATGTTAGAAGTGTAGATCAATGGAATTCTTAAGATTTTTTAAAATAATCTAAAATATCTTATTATTTATAAATAATATATAATTAATTAATATATATTTAATAGATAAAAAAATCAGTTTATTTTTTGTATTTTTTTTTCATTTGAATTATATCTATAATCTAGAATATAGGTTTAGAGTTTAGGATTTAGGATTTTAGTTGTAATATTATTTTTTCTAATTTTTATGCATATGTGCCACATAACTTATATTTATATAAAAATAAGAAATTATATATTAGAGGGTTGCTTTATATATAACTATGTAATATTTGGATTTCGAATAGATCATTTAATCTATGTACCTTATAAGATAAGATTCTTAAAATCATGAGAAAAAAGCTAAAATATATACACCTTTATATATTTAAAAATTGATGATCATAGAATATGGAAAATACAAGGAACTTGCTTTTTGAAAAAATTAGTTTCTTGTTTTGACCTCAAATATAACAGTTGTATATAATAATCATATTATAAATTTTAATTTTAAAATGATGCATGATTTTTTTAAACCATACACTCTAAATTTTAATAAAATAACACAAGCAGGAAGCAATAGCTTTTTATGTATTATTAATTTTTATGATAAATGTATGTTTAAAGGTGGTCATCCATCCAAATGAAGGAAGAAAAGATAGAGTCACCTAATTACAGTATTGTTGTAACTGGATTCCTCTTACAAGCTTTAAATTTACTTCTGAAATGCTCATTCAGCTTTTGGATTTTAAAAATGCATACTTATGTTCTAAATTACTATCATTAAATATAAATGAGACAGCTTTAAGCATTGAGGTTATCATCATTATTAATTAGAAAGAACAGAGGGTGAATGGAATCTTAAGTTTCTAATAGAGCACCTTTTGGGAAAATCAAGACTGTTGCTCCTATTCAATAAAAATGCTTAGAGAATTTATTTTCAAAGAAGTGAAGTTAGGTACTAAACATCTCTCGTCATTAGAATCTAATGTTTCTTTTAATAGTACTAACAAAATGAGGTTTTTTAAATTAAGATTAAATTAACAAGAAAGTACTATAAAACAATGAGAATACAAAATAAACTTCTTACTTAATGTAATTAACAATTGGTCACATAGTCTTTTAAGAGATGTATTATGTTCTCTATAATTTTAAAGAACTGCAACTTGAAAAACGAGGGATTTGATTATTCAAAGAGTCAAGTATTATTTGTATTGGTAGCATCTTTTTTTCTAAGACTTTCACTGTGATAAGACTTTGTATTCTACTCCTGAACTCACTTCTTACTTTATAATAATTACTAATGCATCCGTTGAAGGTGCATATATTCTCATTTAACTTATGATTTTATATGTCCTTTCTATTAATGAGTTTGACAATGTATTCTTGTTTTATCAAAGCCAACCCTAAAGGAGTTGAGTAATGTAAAAAAATACTCTTAGCCCCATATTTAAGAGTTTTAAATATTGTAGTCAGGAGCATATAGGCGGAATTTGATTTTGGCAGCAATAAGTAATTAGAGAGCTGGACTACGTAGAAATAGTAATATTCACTATGGACTTGTCAACCAACTTTTTCATTATTTTAAAATAATAGCTAACACTCTTGTATTGTGTCAAGTGAAAAAACATTTTTATAATTAAGACATCATTAAAACATGTTATTTTCTTAACTTCAAAAGAAGTAAGTATGAAATTCATTCTATTATTTTTTATTATACCTTATGATTTCACTTTATTTTGTATTAGATCTATAGATAAGATTTATATAGGAATAAAGCTATGGAAGCCATCCACTTGATTTTTAGAATTAATTTTTTTATGTTGACTAGTCTTTTGGTTGTCATAGAATTGTAAAAACAATATATTATTTATTGTAGCATTGTTGCAAGTTAATCTTATTTTGGATTAATGATAAACATTCCACTTTGAATCAATTATTGACTTCATATTGTCTGTTGACGAATTAGTGAGTGTATTTACTTCTTGATGCTTGTGATGATTTATAATGAATAATTTTAAACTAAATTTGTGTCTCTTAATAAATGTATTTTCAAGATGAACTTCTTAGATTAGCAGTAGTTCTTGGGAAGTTGGACCCAGCTATCTAGTTGTGCAATTAAACTTCTCATTTTAATTGATCTCCAACTTATCATAATATTAAGTAGTATGATTGTTGTTTACCAATGCAACAACATGATCAAGTGCTGAAGGCCCATAAAATTGATTTTTATCAAATCTTATATCATTGTCCTCTAAAACTAACTTCATTGTGGAATATTTAAGAAATCGTCAATTGAATACCTCTCATCTATTATGTAGACATGTTTTCATACCTTGCACCTTTGCATACATATAATAAAACTCTTTTTCATAGTAAAAAAAATTAAGATAAATTTACAATAAAAGATTTGTGTACAAATGACTCAAGGCAAAATAACAAAACAAAAATCAAAAGTTTTTTTAAAAAATTTATCTGAAAAAAATATATAATACATTGTGTGTAATTTTTCAATCTCTTTTAAAATCTTGTTAATTTCAATTATAAAATATTTTATCATAAATTTATTCTAACTTTTTTTTAATGTAGATAAGAGTTTTACTTTGTGTATGTGGAGATGCATGGCACAAGGTGGTGTCCACCTAGAAATTTCCAATATCTATTACTCTCTTTATATTTATATGAATAGGGATGTCATAGAATACTCATGTTTATAGGTAAGAGAATATTTGATTTTAGATTACGTAGTAGTCACATTGTTCTTGTTGTTTCTATTCCAAGATAGTTATGTTAGTCCAATGTACTATCAATAATCAACCTTTAGACTATGCCTCTAAATCATTAATTTATTCAGATGGACACAAGTGATCTAAAATCTTATGGCTAATGGTGTTATTTCTTAGTCAAGTTTTATGATTGTACAGTGACCTTCATAAATTGACATGAGTATTGATATCAACATCTTTTCAATTTTTTGAGATCTTTTTTTACTTGTTGCTAAGTCTACCATTAATTAGAAATTTGTACTTGTCTATTATTTCTGGTTTATGTTGTTAAGGAGAGCCCCCTTGAAGTGAAGGTTGATTCTGTGGGCTATTTTTATTTTTTTTAAATATATTATTTCACTCATTTCTTGACCTAAATTAATATTACTAACATTATATGTAATACCAATGTCATCGTTAGAAATTACTTTAATATCAAATTGTAGCTTAGATTGTTGTTAATATGATTCTATTCTTTCCACTATTTAATCATCTACTTTTAAGTTGTCTCACCTTTCGTGTTTACAATCAAAATAAACATCTTCTATAAATTTCATAATTTTATAATTAAATCAAACAGAGAGTTGACAGGAACTTATATCATCTTAATAAGATTATAAAATTGAATTATCAAAAACATCATAAATGCAGGACTTCTAATTAATTTTTATGTTAATTTAGTATGAATATTATATTTGCAAGTCTTCTAAATTTTTTTTTGTATTTAACCTTTTTTAAAAGAAATTATAAAATACCAAATAAATACAGTTTAATGTACAACATCTTGAAAAATTAAATGTTTATGGAATTATAACTATTTCACAATTTATTAAAAGAAAACAAGTGAGAGAGAAAATCTACATGTATGCAACTTGCAGATACTTGTATATATTTCATTTTTTCTAAACAATGTCATATCAAGAAAACTGTGTTGATATTTTTAATTAGTTAAATAATAAAAAATAAAATCATTTTGTTTAAGATATATTTTTATTTTAATCAAAGTGATCGTGGATTTGAAGAAATTTTCTAATATAGTAAATTGGATATTTCAATTACTATATTTTCTAAATTACTTTGGATATTTTAGCAATTCTACCGCAACGCTCAAACTTACTTTTTCCCAAAAAAGCTTGCCTTGTGGCAAGTTGTACAACAGTTGTTTCGATGCCACTCGAAGGGGTTTATAGCATTTTTTACTAGGACAGCAATCCCAGATGATTACATGTATTTAGTTGCGTAAGCAGAGAAATCGATTGCACAGGCTCTAGTTCGTTGGAGTCATGACTGTTACTGATGATCTACGCCTACTATAAAAATCACGACGTGTTTGAATTAGACTTCTACGCAAACGTCCCAAAAGTATGGGAAAGTCCTATTGAGATGAGTATCTCGTTGCCCGCTGTGATCAAATTGCAATAACACGACCGTATATACTACGCGCTTGAACGTAAAAATATTAAAATAAATATCGGAATATGACACGTTCTAAACAGTGTTGCAATGCATAAGTCACGCTCCTCTCATCTGAACCGCACCATCAAGGTTGAATTCATCGTGATATTGGAGTATACTTGGTTCAGTCGAGCGAGCACGTACCACAAGATTACATAGAAGCGATTGGGAGGCAGAAACTTTCGGTATCCACCACAGGTGACAAATCATAAGCACCCTAGTCAGACCGTCGGCCATGCAGGCTAATCAAAGTAGGATAGGATGTCTATCCTAACTGCCGTCGACAGAGATTGAGTAAGGCCCAAGCAAATTGACTGCAAATCGACTTTACTTCCCGACTATGATTCCTGATCATACATTCTCTATTGATGCCGTATCGCCAGTTATATCAGCAGACATACGGTCGACAAATCGAACGAACAAATTGTATAGCAGTAAATTATAACAAACCAGTTCTCATGTATGAAGGTCTCGTGCAAGGCGATGGAGATTGAATGGTGCAAGTCCAGTGATTCAATCACCAAAGTAACTGTGACCACGAGTTGGTACATCGAGGATAAGAAAACGTAACGCAGCCTGGACTCTTAGCTTTGGTTACCTCAATGAGTGGCTCCCATACAACTCCTACCTACTTCTTATTCGTCCTACTGTTGGAACAGCAAAGATCTAGGGAACCATCCGTCTCCGCGATAGGTTTGGAACGTACCAACTGTCATCCCCACCGATCGATGTCTGGTTGAGGAGTCGAAGAACCGCAGCGTCGATCTTTTGGGATGAACCAGTGGTTCTCCGCTGCAACCCGCACGCCGCTTTCCACTTCTCGATGTGGCCAAGGACAACACCGGAAAATCCAGTATCCAACTGTACTCTGACTAAAATTCGTATACAGAGTCGTGATGGATTCGCTCCAACATCTCCTCCAGTCGCTGGGAGCTAGATGATCCACGCAGAACTATTGAAAGGAGACCTCCAGGTTTTTCACTTCCAGTTCCAGGTCAACAAACTGGGCTACATCGGATAAGCATGATCTCTCCTTCAATGACTTTTGCGCTCTGCGTGGTTGAGAATACGTGGCAGACATATCACGAGCTTGAGACGCGCCGGCACCAGTCGCATTTCTTCCAACAGCTGATCAACCTCCCCCATTACAGATTCTTCACTTTCTCTCTCTCACACTTAATCCCCCAATCACCAGTCGATCATCAGTGATTTTCAAGCCCCGTAGAATCCACCGCTTCGCTTTGCCTCAAGCACCGGTGAAAACGCACCCCAATAAAAATATCAATAGCAGTGGCAATTCCGCTGCAGCCCACAAACCAATCCTTCTCAGTTGAAACTTCGAGCTGAGAGGATTCTTGTCAGGTACAGGCAATATGCTAGAATTGGGACAGTGCAACGAAGATGAAGACGCTGTAGTTCTAACAACTCACCTTGGTGTCAGTAATATTTTCAACTTCCGGCGGGTTGCGCCACGGCCTGCGTTGATGTCGGAGCCAGTCGCTGGTCGTCCGCTTCGTGAAACCTACGCCGTAACTGGTCCTGGCGAGGACCTGACACAGTGTTGCTCAGGCGTCGTGAGGCTCACTCTCTTCCGTCGTATCGGTACAGTTGGCCCTTCGGACCCTCCAATAGGCACCGACAAAGACTCCACAACCCTTGTGCTCTGCCCCGGTGTGAAAGGTGATATATTGTCTCCTAGTTCTGCCCGTGTGAAAGGTGATATTGCCTTCATTCTCTGTCCTAAGTGTGAAAAGGAACTGTGCTTTGCTCAAGGGTGTGGAGAAAATAATGCTTCTGTACAACAGCCTCCAAACATTCTATGAATTATTAATGATGGAATCAAGTATAGGCAAAGGGTTATGCTCATGTATGTTGTCCCTGTGGATTGTCATTCATGGAGTCAAGTTTGTTATAAACACTTAATTATTGACAACCTATTTCTTAAATTTTGGCATTATTGATTGTGTAAAGGAAGACAATCAAGGAGTAATATTAGTTATGTTACTTTCTTTTCTTTTCTTTTTTGCAATAAAAATTTGGATTTTTTATTCTTTGTAACAAATAAAATTTTAAAATAATCCTTTGATACTTAAATGTAATTCTTAGCAATACAGCAGAACAATTGTCTATATATATATATATATATATATATGTATGTCTGTATATATACAAATGTGTGTAAGATTTTAATTTGAGCTTGTAGAGAAATTTATGACTTTAGTTTTTATCATTATAATTTATTTAATATCTATGTGTGTTTATATCAGATAAAAACTAAATTAATATCTGTGTGTGTATTTATATAAGATATTAATTTTAAAAAATAAAATAAATAAATAAATAAACGAATATTGAAAACCAATAGAAAAAAGGAACAAAATTCCATTGATTATATGGGTCTTGTTTGTTTGTTTGTTTGTTTGTTTGTTCAATTGTTTTTTTATTTCCAATTATGTTTCACTAATTTTATAGGGAATAGCACGCAGTTGTATTACAGTCTTGTACTTACTTAAATGTAAACTTTGTTTACAGGAAAAGTAACCAACGAAACACATGGGCAAATCCAAACCTTTAGGCTTCCCATATTCTTAAAAACTCCACGGAAGTGGCCATCAGAAGTGCAAAAAGGATGCAAAATCTTTCTCAAGATCGAGGGAGCTACTTTCCCTTTTAATTTGCCATCGTTATAGAGAGCTGACCAATCACATACAAGGTTATGCAAGGGATGTCCACGTGGACACAAAATTGCTGATTCGCATGTGAAGAGGGTCCAGCGTACCAAACCCTACCACGTCGGAACCCCATATCACAATAGATTCTTGTGGATCCACGGGCTTGGGGCCACCACTAATTAGACAACAAGCAAGGAGTATTGTAATTGGATTAGAGCTTAGAGGCCCATTCACGTTTACTTCTTTCGATATACCTTTTGATGATGCAATATATATTAATAATTCTTTGTTCCCAGTCTGCCAGGTCTCCTCTTCAGAAAACATATATTCTGCCCGTGAATGCCCAAGGTTTATGTGTTCAACTTTTTTCACGGCTATGGGTGCCGATGGATGACAACTTCAGGCCATCACGCGGTCAATCACCTTTGCCCATGTGCTGCCCATGTGGAAAAGAATGAAAAATTATTATTATTATTATTATTATTATCGTTTTTTATTTTTTAGCCATATGGTTGAGGGGTGAATCAATCAGAAATTAAAGTAAACATTACAGTGAACAGAAACTCGAAATTAGAATATTTATGATGGCAATCACAGTAAAAGAATGAGGGATTGCCCGTTATGTCCTCATTTTCCATAAGTGATTCGCATTCCCTTAGGTTGATGCCTTGTGCTTTGAAGTACGAATCTAAGATTTTTCTTCCCTTGTACGTCACTTCTACTTTTATACAGATATATATATATATATATATATCTTTTCATGATTGGATGAAAAATTAGTTATTTTGGACGATTCTCGTTCATAATATTTTTCATTGAAGGAACTGATTCTCTTTATGGTTGACATATAAATTAAACTATAGATGAAAAGCGCAATTCATGCTGCTGTGATCTTTTTAAGATGTATCGTTGTTTAATGTTATTATTGAAAAAAATGGTAAAATAAAAGAGCAATAAATACAGTTTTGCTGTTTCTAAATCGAACTTGTAACGGATGTGTAAGTTGAAGAACAAAGAAACAAGTTTGCTTTTTGCTTAAATGGATGTTTTTATGTAGACTTGTTGGCTACTTGTAAAAAAAACACTTAAATCCATTGTTTATATTAAAACTTTAAAGGATTTTATTTTTATTTTTAAAATTTTGTTTAATAATAAAACTGTCACGTGTGGTTGATTTTAAATATTGAGCATTAGTCAGAATAAATAAATATTATAAACATGTTAGCCAACTATTCTCTACCTCATCATAAAACATTTATCAACCAAAACAAATACCACATCTTATTGTGATGCCCACAAAATATCATTCTTCATTTTAGACCTATGTAGATTAAGGATATGTCTAGTTTATCTAATTGGTGACATAATTGATGATATTTCTAAATCACATTAGGTATATTAGACCTATTTTATAAAATAGACTTATTTTTTTAAAAATAATTAGAACCTTAATATCTAAAATATATTTGTAGCAAAATTTCAGATAATTTTATATGTTGCTTGTATTTTTTGAATAAAAGTCAGTAAAAACATTGTAAAAGGTATTTCACTCATAATATAGATTCAAGAAATTAAATTTTATTATAGAAAATAAAATGCTCTACCTTTGTTAAAAACGTTAATTTCTTAATTTAATCAAATAAATTGGATATTGCTCAAATATGGTTGTTGTTGTTGGAAAAGATTAATTTTTTTCTTCAAATTTTCCTAGCTGTAGTAAGTAATCAAAACCATTGTGTATTGCTTTCTAATTTGATTAATGTTCTAAGACATCCATTTTTTTTTACCTAGTCTAAGTGATCAAGAATAAACTAAGGAAACTGACACCATTTTGTGTAGATGAATTTGTAGAAATAAATAAGAAAAATTCATCATTTCTTATATTGAGAGCTTCATTATGCTAGATTATAATCTTACATAAATATTTAACTATGTCTATTAATAGTTATATAAGATGATAAAAATATAATATATTTTTTACACTTTCAATCTAAAAACTCCAATCCTGTAAAGATGTTAATTAATTCAATTAAGCATATATCTATATATATATATAGATATTTATTTATTTATTTATTTTTTGTTTTTTTGTTTTTTGTAAAATATCTATTCATATCAATTATATAGCTTTTGAAAGTGATTAGTTTTTTAAATTTAGAAGTTTTATTGTAAAATAATTAAATATTTTTTTATCAAGTATTATACAATAATAACAATCTTTTTAGAACTACAATATGTTGCAATGTTAAGTAGCTACAACAAAGTGTCTAATTTTGTTATACTATAAGTATGAAAATTTAACATTTATTTGTAATATACTTTTATTTTAGCAATAAGATTGCTAAAAAACTAGTTTTTAAGAAAAATTAAAAATCTAATGTGTAAAAAAAAATGTTAGCCAAGTTTTATGTATAGCATTAATTATTCTTTGTTGATGGCAAAGATATAAATTGTACTTATAAATATTTTTTCATTGAGACTGTTTTTTAATAGACTACTTCTAACTTTTGAATTTAAATATCAAACTTATAAAAAAGACACCAAACACACCAAAATCAAAGCATTCCAACATGTTGTAATTATATAATGGTCATACAATCTTTTTATCACATTGCAAGAACCATTGTTTTATACAAAATTAAGCAAACATGCTGTAATGAATAAAAAATGTTAAAAATGCAATATACTAAGCTTCAAATATATATTTTCTATAGATATAGATAGTTGTTAAGTATGGATATATATATATATATATATATATATATTCTAAACTATCTAAATTTTAATATCAAAATGTAAAATTCTATTACATTAAAGCATCTAAGGTAATTATAAAAATTTTATTGCAATTAAATTGGTTTTTTTTCTTTTATTTATTTATTTAATTATATATAAATTGCAAAATATATAAGTAAAGTTTGACTTTTTAATTGATTGATGAAATTGAGGTTAATGTTAGTAGTCATGTTTTTCGTCGCCTAGATATCAAATATCACATTGTACCCAAAGACCAAAGACATTGGAACATAGATGCAAAAATTAAATTCACTAGTGTTCTTTTTCATATCTTTAATTAGTATAAATAGACTCAAAAAATATCTGAAGTTATATATTTTATGTCTATAAATGCTTAAAATATGGTTTAATTAGTATTTTTAATTAATTCTATTTTGAGTAAATTTTATGGAATTTAAAAATATAATAAAAATAATTAAATCTAAGATTCATTTTATTAAAGAAAATAGATCTTGAAAAATTCTTTGGTTTCTAGTACTTTGTATTTTATAATATTTTCTTGTACTACAAATCATAAATTGATTACATTAATATGCTTTGTAACAATTTTATCTTTTTTTATAGCATTATTATTAATATAACCAAAAGTAATGGTCTATAATATGTAAGAACTTTTTAATAAGATACACAAGTGATAAGATGTATTATGTTAATTAGTAAATTCCTAAGCTTAATTAGTTCTTATTATATTAAATATTATGCTAAAAAATATGTTTATAAATAATTATCAATAATTAAATTATTACTATTTTTATCTTATATTATCAAAGATATAACTTCCAAACAATATAATACATGAAGTGTTTGTCCAATTGACTATTAGATAAATTAAACATCTTGTAATAGAATGCATAATTTATTCATACTTGCTTGTATCTTAATAAAATAAAAAAATGAAATTAAATTAAAATTATCTTTATTTTTATTATATATTGCATCAATATAAAGATTTTAATTTTAAATAATTTAAATAATTAAATCTGAAATAGATATTTAATTTAATTCATAAAATATGTACATATTGTATTAAAATAATTTGCATATTTTTTCTTTCTAAATAGTATTTTAGATATATCTTCTACATTAATAAATTTTCTAGAAATATATTAATTTTAGTAATTA